AGAGTTCATGCCCAAACGGTTCATGCTCTACACAAAATCAATGGTTCCCAAGCAAAAGAACAATGAGCACACTTGTTGTTAAGTCAAAGTTAAGCATGCCGTCCCCGTGGTTTATGCACCCCGCATAATTTAGCAAAATTTGATCATTTTTTGCATAATTTCTGATTACAGTGGAAACCATATATAACAGGCCCGGTAATAACAGGGATGTTTAGAATCCCCGTTTTTTCCTACTCTTTGTCTCTATTAAAATTTATCGGCAATAACAGGGCCTCCTCGGAGCCCAACTGGTTATAGCAGGGACAAAGGCTCGTTAACAATGTGTAAAAAGTGAACGAGAGAGAAAGAGAGAGGATGACCGGTAGGCCTAGATCTAAGCCTACTTCTTTCATTATGGTCACCAACGATGTCCAGCGCAAGAGAAAATGCCTTTCAATTGACAAAAAATACGAAATAATCCAGACTTGACAAAAAGCAAGCTCCACTGGCAGAAATTTGTCGTCAGTTCGACATTCCACAAGGATCGATTCCCACCTTTATCAACGGTAGAGAGAAGATAGTGGCAGCGTACTCCAATGAAAAGTTTGCTCTGGATCGAAAGAAGATGAGACTCCTAGATGCAGATGCTGTGGACGAAGCTCTTCCGATGTGGTTTAAGGAGGCAAGGAGAAAGTCGGTGCCAAAACCCATGTTCGTGGGTACTTGTGGCTAGGGAAACTACCAATGAATAAGTACAGCTAGATTAGTCCACAATAAATGCTCACTTTCCTTGCATTTCGGATTTAACAGGGATCGGATAGAACAGGACTTTTTCCCACCATCCCTGTTATATCAGGTTTCCACGGTATTTTCCTTAGTCATTCTTTGTTACAATTAACAGAGTCGCAAAATTTCACATTTTGGATCAGTTTGCATAATTTCATAATTTTTTGGGCTTAACCGCATGGGACAGAACATGGTATTTCTGTGACTGCTCTGTTTTCAGTTTAGTTTGAAACTATCGTAATAAAATATTGCTTAATTGCAGACACAAAATTCTTCATTCATTGGATATGCAATGCATGTTCATTCTATTATATTGATGCTCCTAAATAAACTCAAAGACAACTTTACGTTTCTTTGATTTCGCACAATTTTACCAAGACTGATTTTTTAACTTAAATTTTAAGGTAAATTTTGTGTCTCTATCTCGGGCATCTCATATCGTAGATGAAGTGTTAACATGTCAGATGATGCAGAATTTTTTAGCTTTAAATTGGTATGCTGCATGAGTGGGTACTGCAAGGCTTTAACACGATGATTGGGTGATTAGTGATTACATTTTCAAGTTTCTTTTGGACGGCACTGTATAAACCTAGTATTTGCTCCTTTGCACCACCATCATCCGCCCACAATCTGGTTAGTACAACAATTTGCAAACTTAAATCTTTCTGTGAAACTAGCTCAGCTGACGCAACATTCTGACGCGTAGCGCTATCCACCTGCGATACAGGAACCCTTGTTTTCTCTTTCATTTAAGAAGTGATCCCAGTTCTTCAAATGTTAGTACTAAAGTAAAATTGCCCTGCTGTACTACCACGGCTGCCAGAGGTACATACTACACAAGCTGCACGGCACCCTTTTTGTGTCTGCTCTTTTCCACATACGTCTCTGGGAGCCCGGCCTAATGCCAGCACTTGTTATCTATTTGCTCCTGATTTGCGCTGATTATGAAAATGCTTTCACTTTTAGCTTTTGACCAATGTTTACACCAAAAAAATGAAATTTTTAAGTCATCTGAATAAGCTATAGGAACTGTGACAAAACCCAGATATCAGTCCGATGACCAAAAGGTTGGCAGTCGCTTGAGAAGCTTTTATATTGTGAGGACACACACTCGTCTACGTGACTCGTCTGAGGCGGCCAGAGGATTGACAAATAATGAAGAAATATAGGGATTTATTTTAAAGGTTGTACTCTACAGGGTCCTTGACACTTAACCTAGCTTCTGATCCAACAGAAATTTTCAATCTGAATTTACGTAATGTTGAGCTGAAGCTGAAAGGTAATTAGTTGCCAATTGTTTGTCCTCCGAGCATGACAAGTCACACAAAACAATCTAGATGTTTGTCTCTTGTCTCTACCAGTCTACCACTCATCGAGACGGTAATGGTGCTTTCCCTTTTCATTGTTACTTGTGTACCACCAGCCTTGCTGTACTACCAACTTCATACTCATCCTAAGGTAGGCGGTATAACAAGGTATGACTATTTAAACAATGTCATGTACACAGCGAAATTCATACAAAACGTCATTTGAAATATTGAAAAGATTTCCTCTTCTCGCCAATTTTACTAATTTAATGTTTGATGAAAAAAGAGGGAGCATAACCAGCAAGAAGGCTACTGTGTATTGTGGGGTCAGGTCTAGTTTGTGCTTGAAATGCAATAGGCCCTCATGGACTTTCAGGTCAAATTTGATAGAGCCGAGGTCAGTTTAAATGTAATGTGAACTTGTCAGCACAATTTATATATTTCAAACTATATCAGATGAAAATTTGGGCTCTTTGTATAATCATTAAATCAGCTGGTCAGCTTTTGTAGTCCGCCATTTCATATGATTTTAAAAACTCAATTTACAAACTAAGATAATAAATCTTTCTGTGAAACTAGCTCAGCTGATCCATCATTCTAACATGTAGCACTATCACCTGTGGTGCAAGAACCCTTTGTTGCATTTTCATATGCAGTGATACAGTGGAACTCGGATTCAACGAGGTCGCCGGGCCTGACCTAAAATCTCGTTGAATCCGAGTGCTCGTTATAGCAAACACAAGGTTTTGTGTCGATAATTACAGGCACTGAGCAAGTAATGTATAAAGAGAAGTCACAAGTAGTGCCTGAAATGGCTGCATATTATGAGTGTGTAAAAATAAAAGACCGATTCGTTCTAATGCACACGCCTGTGTCATCTGGATTGTTTACCAAAAAGCTGTGTTGATGTGTAGAGCCTAGCATACGGCAACTTTTGATTCCATAGACCAGCGCACAATTCATTACGTAGATATCTACGTCAAGACTATCATTGTAATAATGATATCAGTTGCCGAGGGGGGAAAAGAGTGTGACACGTTTGTATCTGCGACGTTCATCGCCCGGACCGCTAGTACACCCCCCCCCCTTCCCCACAATCCCAGTCACACGTGTGCAGGCTGCCTATCCGACCCCGACATACGCCAGAGTAGACACGTGTGCGTGCCAACAACGCATGTGTTGGTATGGAAAAAAAAACGCTGATTGGTCGCATGCAATCGACTATTTGAATAATGGTTCACGAAGCTGGTGCAATGGATGGTTTCCGGGAATAGATAAAGTTCGTTCTGGAAGAAAAATGAGCGAAGCCACGTCTGCGGGGGCTGTTCATCCTGGAAGCGACCTCGTTGAATCCGAGCTCGCTGATTTAAGTGCTCGATGAATCCGGGTTACTTTTATTGAAAAAAAACGGGGGATCTATCTCATCTCGTTGAATCCAAGTTCTCGTTGAATCCGAGCTCGTTAAATCCTAGTTCCACTGTACCTGGTCTTCAAATGTAAAAATTGTATTTTCAATAACCTTCAAAGGAATATAGACTACCCACTCGTCACCCAAACCTGGCAACTATTTCATTATCCAATGAGGACAATGTTAAATGTGAAGGTGATGTGTCGCATCTTATTGTATACAAGGTTTAGTTGGGTTTTTTCTTTCTAGAGATGCTCTTACTGGTCTTAACACCAGCACATAACAAGACAAATTGTCATGCAATTGAGAATTAAACTGAAAAAGACAAATTCTCTGTTTAAGGAACTCAATTTTGGTTTCGCATGATCTTTTTACCACATCTTGCATGTCTTGAAAATTAAACATGTGTCACTGCGCAGTGGAATCAGGCGCTCGTTAATTTTTGGGTACATAGAGTTATTGGTATCACCTTAAAGAATGTTCATTTGTCTTGCATTTGACGAAAAAGACAACCATTTATCTTGAATAGAAGTCACGATATTTGTCATTGAAGGAGATGGGGTCGCCTAGTTTCAGAAGTAAAATTAACTAGAAAATGGGCGCCAAATTTTGTATTTCTTGCCTATAATCAACATTTTTCCATTAAATCCACACAAGAATGTTTTTGAATGGACATTCAAGGTGCTGAGCCAAAAACAAATAATTTTAAAAATCCAAACTGGCCGAAAAATGCAGATTTCTTCGATTTCATAATTTTGATGAGCACCTGATTTCACCACGATGCCTAACATATGACTGACTCCCATTATGATCTGACACTGTAATGTGTAACCTATGTTTTAGTGCCCATTGGAACATTTTTCAAATTGTTTCATCAATATTCACAAAGCCACCCCTCATCATCATAATACAGTGCTTCAGATAAAAGGGATAGAACCTACTTGAGGCCATCCAGAAAGCACTAAGTGCCATCAGTTCTCAGAACCACCAGCACAGATGTTGTTTTAGATGGTGATAATGACCACCAAAAAATAACAGAATAAGACCAAATACTGACATCTTACAAGTACCAGTAATTAGCTCTGGGCCCTAATTAAAACCAGGAGCCATAAATTCTAGATTTCCATGTACATGTCCACCATGTAACGTGTCTGTTCTTCGACTTCTCCTCTTAGTGCATGATGTCCATATATGTCCAGTTACGTGTGACTTCGGAGATTTAGCGTTTTTGTCTGAGAAAGTTATGTTACTGCGCACTCGGCGAAATCTAATCAAGGACAAGAGTCGAGAAAAACACTAGAGAAATCCTATCACCCACAGAGATCTAAGTAAAAAAAGTACTGAACCAGGTTAATTGAACAAATATGAGAAAAATGAAGAACACAACGTCAAAGGGAATGCAAATGATGTTTTTAAAAAAAAGAGAAAATAAGGTTTCAAAAAGACAGTCTACCAATAGGTAAGTACAACAAAAAACAAAACAAAAGTTTTTAAAATAATTTAAGCAATTGGCCTGTGTGTTCAAGTGTACACAATTTATTCATGAATCAGCAAGGTTGCAGCCATTCTTCCTGTACGTCTGCCTCTCACACTAGCATTCAAAACACTGGAAACTTACATGGATAATTTTTTAAGATATGCTCTTTGTTAACTGTTCTGTATTTCAAAGAACATTCTCCAGTGAAGATAATGTTGCATCATGTCCACAAAAAAAAGAACAACAAAACCCAGTATGTCTTTGTCATAGTTCACTATTTACATGTATCACTTTCAACTTTTGAGGATTCAGTGAAATTAACATCTGTTTCAAAAATAAAAAACAATACCTTAAAGAGTCCGGAAAAAGCACAGTTAGGCTTAATTAATAATGAGTAATATATTTACACACACAAAAGATAACAGGGTGTATGAGCCAGAAAACAACTTGACTAAAACTTCGCTTGAAAGAGAAACGAAAGCAAACAGAAGGAAATGGATCGCAGTTTGGATAACATAAGATATGTGGAATCTCATCTTTGCAACAGACAAATGGAGATGAGCAACAGAAAAATTAAATAACTTGTGTAGCCTTGGTATTCAAAACCCTAAGCGTCACGGGTCTTAGGTCCATTATTGTTGAGCTATCCTTGTGCGGTCAATTTATTTAGAGCTGTCCCTGGGTGACTTTTCACAGTATCTCAGCTTCAGGGTTTAAAGTTTAAATCAAAGTAAGCATTCTCCAGCCAAAGATTAGTGGAGAATCCTAAATAGCCTACCACTACATTCCAGTAGTTACAACAATCCCCTAATAATACACAGTGAAATATGTTGTCAGTTCATGATATATCAACAAGCTGCAAGTCGCTATCCATGGAAGCTGATCAGAACATGCTATAACTACAAAAGACAACACAGACAACCCTATTTAACTGAATAAATTCACTCAAAGCCCGAGTTCCACATTTGCGGATGCAACTTTCTACACCCAGCATCCGAGGACACAGGAATCAAATACAATTCTTTCCCACAGTAAGACGTGATCCACAAAGAAAAAGGGCTTTCAAGGACAATCATCTATTACTGTACTATGATTTTCCATCATCTATTACTTTGATCGAAATTTATTGAGAATTCCTCTTTGTGACATACTGGTCATAGTTCAGTTAAATATCCTCCAATATCAATGAAAATGGGATTGTTGGACAACAAAAAATGAAGCACCTACTCATACAAATCCTCTAAGTCAAAGATAATGAGAAAAAAAGAAAAGGACATTATTTTGGTAAACTATAAAGTGCTATAAGTGAATCCAGAAAATTAATGCAATAGCTTGACAGGCAAAGTAGAATCCAGTATATTCACTTAGTTCCTCGGGCCAAATAGAAACAAAGGCACTGGGATAAACGGCAAAAACACCACTGTGTCAGCAAACTGACTCTTCAAAGTGAACAACTTAACAGTGGTCTCACAGCACAAGAGTTTACAGACTTTCTGTTAAACCTAAAACAGCCTAGTGTTTCATCTCACTGAGACAAAAGAACAGAAAGATATATAAAAAATGACCTATTGACCACTACCCAAAAACAAAAAACAAAAAGAGAAAGGGGGAAAGCACAAAAGGAGCCAATGACACTGCAAGGAGTTGACCAAGGTGACCACTTACACATGGCATCAAGAATGTTCTTTCTTTTTTTCTTAACTCGCAATTAACAGAGAGGGAAGCGGAACAGCACAGTCACAATATCACAGTTGAATGATAGCTACATCATCACAAACATTTATCAACTAGCTGTTTTTCCCCCCACATATGCACCTCAATTAGATTGAGACAAACAGCCAAAAGTCAAAGCTGAAGATCATTATATACACTTACAGGGAGATAGTCAACACTAGCTTTCACTTCAAACAATATATTCACAAATAAAGAGGACAAACATCAAGAGAAATAATTACCAGTTACTGGGATGTGTGTCATGTTCACTAATGACATCGATTTCGCCAGGATTTAAAACCCTTTGTACCTTTGATAAGTATAAAGTGAACATACAACCAACCATAGGCAGGTGTGCAGGAATGGAGGAGAAAGGGATGGGAGAAATTCTTTAAATGAAATAGTAAATGAATGTTCTTGATACTCTTTTTGGGATTAAACAGCAATGCAATGGCAGAACTGAATCTCTAAGCCTATGGTGTGTTGCTAGAACAAAGTATCAAAAGTTCTTAACGCCCTCAATAATGAAAAGGTTAGTGAGGCGGAGGGTCGGTATCAGAGGCTCCTCGCTGAGGTGGCATGTGCTTGAGCATGCTTCTTTTCGCAGAGGCAGGATTCAAACCTCGTTCCCTCCCGGTGTGGGAGGCAGAGGAGGCCCTCCCTTGCATCACACCAACGCCCGGCTGGCCCAGGTTGGGGCCATGCACAGCGACTGTGTTTGGAACAGTGATAGGACTACACACTTGCCGGGGGTTGCCTGATGAAGCAGCGCTACTACTTCCCCCGTGACCCCAAGAGCTCTCCCTGTAAGCACCAGCAGTAACAGATCTGGCCCCAACACCAACTGGCGACTTCTCTGTGGCACCACCCGCAGCACTTTCGGCCGTCCGACTGCTGCGAGGTTTACAATGTGAATCGTGTGTACTTCTGTTCTCTTTCTGGACTGATGGCGCTGCTGCTCCCTGCTCCCCTTCAGACTCTGGAGACCGTAGAGACTCTAATATGGAACTAGAGTCCTCTCCATCTCCATCTATGACCAAGCTGAGCTGCTCCGTCAAAGTGGCAAGCAGCAACTCTTGAACAAAAACATTTCTCCGTGACACATCATTTTCACCTGTGTTCCCACTCAACTCTGAACCAACATTTTCGGCACACAATCTGAAAATAGAAAACGCACATAGGAAAAACTTGTTATATCAAAATTGTAAAATTCCATTACCTTTTTAACCACTACGCTACGAATTTGCAAATATACACAGAACAGATGCAAATATAAACGGAACAGATTTTCCGGGTATAAATCATGATGTCAGAACTGGGAAACGTTTCACACACATTAACTTAATTAATCTAGAAGTAAATAAACTTTATTCAGGTTGCACCCCAAAAAGGTAATGCTCATGTCAGAAGAAAATAAATCAGGATAAATAATTGTAATCAGACTGACAAAAATCTGAAAGCTACACACTGTTTCGACATGAACAAAGCTCTAATATAAAACATGATGCCAGAATTCAAACGAGCAAAAAATGTTAGACTTTAGAGCATTTTCAATACTCACATAGTTTGGAAAAGGCACAAACAAGAAAAAGATAGGGATTCCAAAAAACAAATTCTAAAACCAGCACACAGTGCATCCACAACATCGACACCTCAATTTTACTACATTAGCCCTCCTCACCAGTACCAGAGTATAGGTTACCAACAAGAGCTCTCTATGTACTTTTGTCTTGGGGCTCAAATCTCCTCTGTCCAGCTGTATCCCATCTCATTTTGGTCCGATTTTAAGTCCCTCCTCCAAGTACTTTTAAGCCCACCTTTCTTTCTCTTTCCATGTGGATTCTATCTTTAGGCTTAGAGGGTAAGGTTGGTTTTCAGTTTTCACAAGGTGTGTCCAATCCACTTCCATTTTCTTTTTCTGATTAAAAAAAAATCTATTTTCCAATTCCCACAGTTCTTCAATTAAGATAAGATAAGATATGATAAGATACATCTTTATTGTCCAGATCCTGGCACATTGGTTTGGTGTTCCACCACGAGTACACACACACACGCGCACGCGCACACACACCCACACACACACACGTACACACACAAGTAGGCTTACAATCACATGCATAATATAAATGAGCAGCAATATAAACAATAATAATCGTAAGCTAGATACACACTCAATGTTATTTTGATGCATGCTCTAAGGTCGTAAGTACACTAAACAAGATGGTTAATATGGAAGCATTTTGATAGTTGATGGTAAAAATGACCTTCTGTATCTTTCTTTGTTACAGAACAGAAGCATGGGTCTTTTACTTCTGACTGATGTTTTTATTTGAGGGAACAAGGGATGTTTGTTGTCTAAAAAGATGGAATTAATTTTCTTAGTGCAAGCTGTTATGTACAATTCATCCAAGTAGGGGAATGAAGATGTTGAAATTTTACATGCTTTCTGTATTAGTCGATTTAATTTTTCTTTATCTTGTTGTCTTGTGTTCCCGGCCCATGCTGTTGTACAAAAATTGATCATACTTTCTATGGTTGAATGGTAGAACATGGACATCAATGTTTTATCAACTTTAAAATACTTTAGCTTTCTTAGAAAAAATAGTCACTTTTTTATGCAGGAGAGAAGTGTGGACACGCCAGTTGAGTTTGTTGTCTATTGTAACACCCAAATATTTATAGTCTGACACTTGCTCAATGTTTTCACATTTCATTTTGAGTGGCTGCAGGGGCAGTTTCTTTATTCTAAAATCAACGACAAGTTCTTTTGTTTTTTTCACATTTAAAAGCAGCTTATGATTTTCACACCATCCAGAAAAATTAAGTACAAAATTCCGGTAAGCGGTTTCGTTATGGTCAGCCTGAATTAGCCCAATTATAGTTGAATCATCTCCAAATTTTATCAACTTGATGTTACTGTTGTTTATTTGGCAATCGTTCGTGTATAGTGTGAATAAAACTGGTGACAAAACACATCCTTGAGGGGCCCCTGTATTTGTTGTGATGTATGTCGATGAAGAATGTTTTAATTTTACATACTGGGTTCGGTTGGTAAGAAAATTGCCTATCCATGATATTAAATTGACGTTAACAACTATGTTTTCTAATTTCTTTAAAAGGATAGCTGGCTGGATAGTATTAAAGGCTGACGAAAAATAAAAAAACAGGATCCTACAGTATGTTTTAATTCTAATGGTGTTAGGCAAATTAATGTTTCGCATTTTTTTAAAGTTAAGCAGCTGATACATGCCTGTAGGTTTTCAGAAGTTCTTTTTGTAATTTTCCAGGTCTCTGATCCATAGATCTTTTGACACTAGTGTTGAAAATCCTTGTACTGTTTTTGTTCCTATAATTCCTGACTTTCAAATATTTTTAGTTGCTTATTCTTGTCTTTTCATCTGCATCTACTCCTCCAACTTCGTCTAAAACGCTACCAAAGTAAGAGAAGGAATCAACTTCCTCTGGAGGTGTTTCCCCGAATGTAATATTATCGTTGATGGTGATGCTGATCCTTAGTATCTTGGTATTGTCAAGATGTACTTTAGGGCCTGTCATTTGTGAGATATTTACGAGATCTCTTCTTTTCTCCATCTATTGGTGACTATGATAAAGTAAAGCAAGATCATCTACAAAGTATGGGTCTTCAATTTGTGTCTATAATGATTTCACTACATTACTTCACACTCACTTTGAAAGAAGAAACTGAGAATCTGTTTTGGTGACTGCCACAGGCAGACTGGTGGGCTCTGGCTGAGAGGGAACTGTGTTGTTAGAGGCTGGTGGTTTGCTAGGCTCTGCCTGTCTTCGCGGTAAACGTTCCAACTGTTGTCTGCAAGAAAGCAGAGAGAGAAAACCAAAGGTTATGAGTAAGTCCACATTACCATAAACTATCTGTACATCCCCGTTAAGATCATAAAAATTACCACAAAATTATTTTTAAAAATACAACCAGTTGCTGCTGTTTTCTCCAAAACCAATTGAAGGGCACACGTGAAAAACAAGGGATGTCACTTTTTAGCAATTGTAGAAATTTTTTTTTAATGAAATGCTTGACAGCACACATTTTTCTTTTGCACAGCTTTTTTTTCCAAGCCTGATATTGAGTGACACATAAAGTTTTAGCCCTGGACACTTACAATACTTAGATGAGACAGAGGAGGAGTGTAAACACTTCCCAACCAACATCACCACTCAAATTACGGTATCCAAAAACTAACATCTCTGCTTTTTTACCTTGGACCCTTCAATTGACTTAGAGCTGAAGAAACACACTTCAACACTTCTGCCCCCCCCCCCCCCCCCCCCCTAAAAACCTACAGAAACCAATCCAAAACATTTGTACCTGGTACAACAAAACCAGAAAAAAAAACCCAGTCGAATCTGCTGTAATGAGAATCTTTCCAAATGACAACTTTCCTACTTCCCCTTGTGCATCTTTTTTTTTATATTCTAATGACTTGACACTGTACAAGAGGTCTACCAAAGACAACCACTTTCCTCCTCAAAAATGGGACCGATTTGGACAATTCTAACTGTAACCCAAAAAATAAGGGAATATTTCAAGAGGAGAAATTAAGAAGAAAATTACTGTCAGTTTTTGCAGTAAATTAACACTTTTTCAAGTACTCTTCCAGTTACTGACCCTCCCCCATCAACTTAACCGTAAGGAAGTATACATAATTCACATCCCAAATGATGAGATGCTTGAGGAACCCACTCAGGCATGAAAAACAGACACGCATTAAAGCTGGATAGACCACACACAGGCTGACTAGCAATAAACACAGAGCTCATGCTGTTGGTTGGAATCAGGATGACAAGAACATCAAGACAGGTGGTTAGTTCGAATAAAAGAGAAGCACTTCAACACCTTACGTGGTCATCTATCGCTGTCCATGGAGGCAGACAGAAACAACATGGGGAAAGGCGTACCTAGAGCACCCTCTACCCACCCGCAGAACAATAGATGTAAAAACTATTAACTCCTTATCTCCGACAAGCCACTCCCAGCAGCTCAGGCACATTCCTTTATGACTACTTCGAAGTCAAATTACTATTCGGCATTTCCTGAAAATAGGTCTCTTTTATAAGGAATTCCTTCACAAGTGAAATAGGTTCATTTGTAGAAGATGATAAGATAGTTACTACTATTAACAAATTTATATTAAAATAAGAAAAGCAAGCATCTGAATGCGATCATGCTCAGTGCTTCCAACAGCTGAAGCTGAAAAAGGAGGAAAATTCTGCTGAGGGTCTGGGGGCCAATAAGGCCCCCAACATGGTCCAGGGGCTCAGGGGTTACAGCTAGGGCTGTGGAGTCGGTTAAAACTTATTCCGACTCTAAATCCGACGCTATGTTTTTAAACTGACTCCAGCTCCAACTCCGACTCCTCCATGAACATCAATTTTGGCTCCGACTCCACCTCCTCAACAATCTTCAACTCCGACTCCGACTCCAGACTTAAAGACCCAAGGCTGACTCCAACTCCAAATCCCGACTCCAGTCTAGATGTAGTGAGTCTTTTATTCATGGAAAAAAAAGCACATAAACAAAGCAAAACTAGATAGATTCTAACTAATTTCTCTACATTTATTATAAAACTATCAATAAAAAATGAATAATTCAACTTTTGGCTTTGGTTTACAAATCAATCTGAGAATTTAAAAATTAATCAATAAATCAACCTCTTGGCTTGGGTTCACAAATGAATCTGAGTAAATTTTTTTTTTTAAGTTGTGAAATGGACAATACGATAAGCAATACACATTCTATCATAACATCAGGCAAATCAAATAGATATTTCAGAAAGTCCCCGAAAAGTAACATCTTTGAAAAAGGGGGAAAAAAACCCCCCCAATAAAACAAATGTAAACGGAAGAAAATCGACATTGTGAGGTCATTCAGTGAGGAGGCAGAACCACATATCACACCGAAACAACTGTGAATCGAACCACGGAAAGTTGACCTGAGTCATGTGGCCTACCACTAGATCACGGTGGCTCTATTAAATTTCACTTGATATCTAGATCTACTCTATTGATAATGATCATTTATCAACTTCTTGCCATTACACTCTTTAATTAAAGTTTACTCAATGAGGGACATTGCCACCCCTTTATATCTCAATTTGAATTGTCACAGAATAACTGAATACGTTTATAAGCGGATGGAATTTTTCTTATTTGCATGTTTCACTCAACAAATTCACTTTCCTTTTCTTATGAAAACTGACAGCAGGCAAACAAAGTAACAATTTTCACTATCTTTTTAAGGACTGCAACACTGCAGACACAAACTAAAAACTGATATTAAAAACATCAAAATGGCTTTCTCTTTCACTTTTTGTTTCTTGGAAATGTTCGCCATTAACAGCAAATAAAAGGAAAATGCAGACGTGCAAGTGGCCCTAAAAAATTGCCTGAAAAGAAGAGAGTGTGTGAGAGAGAGAGAGAGAGAGAGAGAGAGAGAGAGAGAGAGAGAGAGAGAGAGGGGGGGAGAGAGAGAGAGAGAGAGAGAGAGAGAGAGAGAGAGAGAGGGAGAGAGAGAGGGAGAGAGAGAGGGAGAGAGAGAGGGAGAGAGAGAGAGAGAGAGAGAGACAGAGAGAGAAGGTACAATGAGAGTGAGGGAAGGGGAGAGAGAGAAAAATATTTACATAGACCAGACCTATACATGTTTAATGTTTAAAAGCAGGTGCCCCTTGCCATTGCTACTTCTATAATTTAATTAGTTTGTCATCCCACTGTTGACAGAAGGCAAACCTGGGAACAATGAATAGACATGTAGCCTACCTGATAAAAGTTTTGAATTACCCTGCGTATACCCTAATTTTCCTCCATTTTCACTTTTAAATGTCCAATGTCACAACCTCAGAAGACCACTTCAAATCATTCATGATTTTAGTAGTTTTAGAATACATTTCTTTCACCACAGCCCTCATCACACTCCCGTAGCTTCATCGCACTGACAATTTCTCTAGATCTAGACAAATTTGCACAAAAATTTCTTTCTGATAGTGATTTTCTATGTAAAACCATAAGTCAGTCTACTTGCTTGATCAACTTGCAGGTTTTCCAGGCGTGGACAATCCGAAGATAGATGGAAAGAATGAGTGAATGAAAGAGAGGAGGAAATTGGTACAAAAAGTTCGCTGTAATGGCTACCCAGATTTTGATCATTTCGCAGGTGAAAATATATTGCCAACCAACCCGCAATGAATGCATAGGCCAAGCGGGATAAAAGCTGAGAGCAGGAAATATGCAATCTGACAGGTTTCTATAATAATAACTTATTGCTGAGAAAAGCACCATAAATATCTGGAACATATACAAGGCGATACCCAGGCGAGTACGGGTCCTTTGCCAAGGAATTTCGGTAGCCCTACGCTATCGCACTTTTTAACGGTTGGAGTTGATGATGGTGGAGTAGAAAGTACGGATTTTGTAAAAAAAATACGGAAGATTGGAAGCACTGCATGCTGTGGAATAACCAACTAGTCTTCAATTTAAAAACAACAACAATAAAGTAACTTTACACCCCCACCCAAGGATAAGACACAAGATGAAAATGTTGCAAGACTGACCTGGTAGACTGCAACTGCATCTCCAGCTGGTGTAACTGGGAAGATACACTCTGTGCTTGGGCATTGCGGTTACGGACACTAGACAACTGTGAAAGTAGCTCTGTCGATACAAGTAAGAACAGGATTATGTTACTGCTAAAAACATCTTAGGAAACTGCATTTTCAATGTTATGTCATTTCAAAAACAGTAAGTGCACTTGATTAAGCAAAAGACATAGTGAAAAATGAATACCAAGACACTCGGTTCAGAAAAGCCCAGTCCAATCCAAGGGCAACAAACACCCTCCTCCCCCCAGGCCAAACAAAATGAGTTCATTGAGTCCATTCGGAACTTGCCATGTTTTCAATTAAGGCAGAAAAACATGCAGGTTCACAAAGCACTAACGATTTTGAGAAATTGAAGCAGCACATTCCTTTTCAAGTAGTACCTCTATGAAATACTTTGAACAGCTTGTGTTTTCAAATGAAACCAGGACCCAAACTGATGTTCAAAAGATGGGTTGTACTGCCTTTTCTTTCTTTTGGGCGTCAAAAGTTAAGACAGAAAGAAGTGGAAGTAAGACACAGCTCCAGTGTTTTTAAAATCATCCAAAGTGGAGGTACTTGTTTAGTATTATCAATGTGACAACACCTACTGTGTACACTTGTGACACAAATAAATCCTACTATGTCAGCCCTTAGCATTGTGTGGTGAACTCCTAAGCTGCAGTTAAGTAAGGATTGGGTTACAGTCTGTAAGTGAGTGAACTTACATAAATGAGCGGGGCAATACTCTGTTCAGAACATACATATATGCATCCGTTTCTGAGTGTTTTCAAAGTGGAGGTATTTTTTACTATGTTTGGGTCTCTTGGTGTGTGGGTAGGGCCATGTTCTATTGCTGGTTTCTGAAAGTGTATTCTCAAGGTAAGATTTAGAGCTGCACAAGTAACAAACACTGTTTAAAAACTTGTAAAGAGTTCAAGAGGTTGAAATCCCACTGCTATGACAAAAGAATTCTTTTTTTTAAACCTGACAAGTAAACAGGACAGAAATTTGAGAACAGTTTACTAAACAACTTATTTTAGTAGGAGCTGCGTTTCCTCAATAAAGATTAGGATAACTGATTTTCAAACAAAAAAAAAAGAATCAGGGAAAGCCACACTATATTTTTGTTCAATTCAACAGTACACAAAGTAATATCATTTTTAGCAGAAAGACAATTCTAAAAAGCACACAAACCTGCTATAGGATCCATATTTTCCCTACTACTTGGTGAAAGACCTGTCAGGGCTGACCCCCCTGAACCGAAATGCTGCATGTTTGCACGTCGAGCCCTTGAACCACCCACGCCTCGACTAGGATGCGGGATGCGTCGCACATGGCGCAGACCAGGGGGCTCATCCTGGTGTTTGATAAGGAAGCTGACAAATTCCATACACAGGACTCTCCTGTTTGTCAACAATAGGTAAAGCAAGAACCACACAAACAAAACAAAAGCCAAAAAATTTTTTTTAACCAAACTCAGTTTCCCTCCTCTTTTTGTCTGCTAAAGCTTTGCAATATTCATTACTATAATTAGACCTGCATGTGAGCCTCAACCAGATTGTCTGAAAGTTTTGCGCACCCCCCCCCCCCCCCCATAAGAGCTTTTGTGGGTGTCCTAAGGTCTTAAGGAAGGACTTCCGAGTAACGAGCGACCACCCCAATAAACACAATAAAGAAGAGACCGAACCTTAACCCTACCCCAAAAAAAGAACCTGCAACGGGCCTCATGTAAAAAGGCCAACACAAGTCCCCAAAAAAATAATTAAATTTTAATTAAAAACCACACTCCAAAACAAACAAGGAGCATAATATATGGCCTACATTCTACATCTACATTGCTATAATAGGGTTTGATACAATAACACAGTAGATTTGGAATATGAATCCTCCATATAGATCTAGATTCAGTAATCTAAATAAATCTAAAATCTAGATCTAGATCTTGTAGAACAAGTGCATAGGAATAGGCCTTGAACTAGATCTAGAAATCCGCATCCAATTCCAAACAGAGGGGCTCAGCTGAGTCTACATTTAGATCTAGATTCTAAATAAATAAATAATTCACGCACCTGATGAAATGCTTTTTACCAACATTTATTACTGCACAACCTATGATAGGGTTTGACACAATAGAATTGGGATATGAATCCTCCATTGAGGTCTATAATGATCTATATAAATCTAGATCTAGATTCTATTAGAACAAGTGAACAAGTGAGTCGGACTTGAATGAATCCTCAATCCACACGATCTGAATAATTGAATTAGTAAACAAACGAAATTCAAAATGGCCGCTCGAGCATGAAACTGAAAGTACATGTAGATAATTTAGGTCGTCCTTTTTCGTATTCGCATTTCTACCCAGGTTCCGACAATTATGTCGGAAATGCCGACGTCGGCAGTCGGCGGTCGGCACGAAAACGAAGGTGCCAACAAAGCCGACGGGGGAAAAAGGGGGCCCTGGCAGTCGGCCAGGCCTCGCATTAAGCACATTGACTGATACAGGTGGGCCTAGCGATAGCATCGGCCGGCTCGCGATTGTCGGATTTAAGACGATTGTCGGCAAACATGCAGGTCTATATACTACAAAATAAACAACGCTGGAATAATGATGAAAGTTTTATGGATACACAAGGAAGAAAACAAAACACAGTGCTTCCACCAGCTGAAGCTGAAAAGTAGGGAAAATTCAACAGGGGGTCTGGGGGCCGCAGAGGCCCCCAGCAGGGTCCATGGACAGCGTCCCCGTGGGGGTTCAGGGGGCGAAGGCCCCGAAGAAATTGAAATTTAGTGCTTTTAGAGGGATGAAAATGGCATTTGGGAGCCTGTTTGAAGAGATTGCCTACAGCCCATACTACCTATTTTTTCACCAAGATTTTGTCTCATTTGACTTCATCACCAACATATCTTTCCATTGCTGGAAATGTTTAAAAGCAGGTTCCCCTTTCATTGCTACTATAATTCAATTAATTTGTAGTCGCACCATTGATAGCAGGCAAACCTGGGAATAATGAATAGATGTACCTTCAAAATACGGTTGCACAGCGTATACCTAATTTTTTTCTCAATTTTCATGTCTGAATGTCGCCTGTCACAACCTCGGAACACCACTTAAAATTATTCTTGATTTTACCTACGGCTGGATCGGGCCAATCGCCCGACTCGATCGCCTGAAACTGAAAGCAAAATACGGGGTGCCCACTACGGCTGGGATAGCGATCGCCCTGACTCGATCGCCTCAAAAACAAACATGTTTGTTTTCAGTTTCAGGCGATCGAGTCGGGCGATCTGCTCGATCCAGCCGTAGTGGGGTTGTTTTTGAGGCGACCGAGTCGAGCGATCAGCGCGATCGGCCGATCCCATCCGTTGTGGGCACGCCCGTAGCCTATCACTATCAGCATATTTCTTTCTTCACGGCCCCTTGTATGGCGTTCACGTGCCGTAGAATCTTCGCATTGATAATTTCTCTAGATCTAGATAAAATTTGCGAAAAAAGTGTCTTTCCGACAGTAGTTTTCTGTCTAAGATCACAAGTCTTGATCAACGCGCAGATTTTCCAGCCGCGGCAACAATCCGAAAATAGACAGACGGAATGAGTGAATGATAGAAAGGAGGAAGTTGGCACAAAAGGTTTGCCAGATTTTGATCCATCTGCAGGTAAAAAATGTACTGCTGACTAACCCGCAATGAATGCATGGGACTGGGACCTAGCGGTATAATGGCCTATTGCAGGAAATTGCGCAATTTGGCAGGTTTCTATAACTTTAACTTGTTGCCGAGAGAATTACCGTAAATATCCGTAACTTATACAAGACGATACGAAGGCGAGTACGGAATTTCGGCAGTCCTGCACTGTCGCAGTTTTTTTATGGAAGGAGTTGATAATGATGGAGGAACAAGTACGGAACTGGCAGAAAGTACGGATTTCCGTAAAAATACGGAAGAGTGGAAGCACTGAAAACAGGAGACCAATTGACGTATTCTATACCTTTAGGTGGGGTTCCAGCTTGATCATAAATTGTTTTCGAGCATTATTCTTTGGGAAACTTCCCTTCGATGGAGATGAAATACTCTCAACTGTAATAGGCTGAGTAGCAAGACGTACTCACACAAAAGGGTCATTAACTGGGCCATTCGTTACTTTAACCCCAACAAGTGCATTACCCAGAATGAAAGTAAAAAGGATTGACCTCAGTAGACTATTTCTGCAAACAATAAAAACAAGAAAACTAACAACCCAGAAAAATAGACAATTCATTGAATTGAAATATCTTCTCCAAAATAACACTATACAATTCTTTTCCCCTGAACATGTTTTTCTAAACTGCATATAGAAAAAGGATACAAAATCCCTGGGCGTCCTATGCTCAACAGTTAGATGAGACATGAAGTCGTCAGTCACATGGTTTGGGTCTCCTCCGGGCAATGAAGCACAAATAGGGCACACCTGTGAGGAAAAAGTTATCATATCAGAGATTTCTTACACTGTCCCATCACCTAAATTTTCCTAGAATAAAAAGAAATTTATATTTTTACAAGCGGACTAATTTAACAATTGAAGAGATGTTTAAAAAAAAATTAATTTTAAAAAGATTTAATTTTAAATTTAAAAACGTAGACAATGAATGATTCTTTTCCTTGCCTGACTACTTTTTTTCCTGTATCCCCCAAGAGAGTTCAGGGACAGCTGAAAGGTACTTTCTCCAACCCATGAGTGTGTAATTCACCACAAAGTGTGCAATTCACTTTTAGGTCAGAGGTCAGTACTCCCTCAACAAGAAATCTCTCAACTCTTTGAATTAACCACATAGTCATTTTTGTATTCCTTTTTCATTATTCATACTGAACAGTTCTTTCCAGTTCATGGTAGATTATATTAATTTACTATTTCATTCAGACATCCGATAATTAAAACAGCCCTCGATTCTGAGCAAACTGATTATTTAACACTCATAACAACTAATCAATTCATAAAAGCACTGAATCTTTAAGAGCCAATGCCCTAACAATCTAATCTTCTAAACTCAAGGAACTGAAACAGACTTCAGGTTGAGTCTTCCTTAAGGGGAGACGTACACTCCCGCAAAAATTTTCTAAACGAATTACTTTTATTCACTTTCATGTAATTGTGCAAGAAGTTCATAGGTAAATAGGATGCACTATGGGTGAATTTGTTGAATTTTTATGAAAAATGGGTCTCTGTGGCGGCCATCTTGGATTTTCAAACCAGTTTCTTAGTGCAGAAGAATTTCATAGTAGATATTGAATTATCAGCCTGAAATTTGGCACACACGTACAAAACTATATGAACTGGGGATCCATGTAGGGATTTTGACTTATCTTTAAAACTAAAAAAGTGAGCCCAAAGTCATTGGACCCCCCAGAGTCAGTTGACGAAATTTTGGGGTACATATTACAAAAAATTTGAATATTTCCTCAAGTTACCAATATTTCCCAATTCCCTTACACAGATCCCAAGAATCGATCTTAAAGCACCTGTACACCAAATTTGAAGCTTCTAGCTTCAGTAGTTTTTGAAAACTCTTTGCACCCAGGAGGTCACATATGTCAAAAAGTAGATTTTGAGAAAAGGGTTGATTTGAACAACATACTTGGCAGGTCTGTATATTTTTATCAGGGGGCTCTCGTGGTCAAGAGTTATGGTGTTCCCGTCTCATTCAATAGGTCCCGGATTCCAATCCGGACAGTGACAGAAAATTTTCTTCGATAAAATTTTTCTTTTTTCACCTCCTTCCCCGCTCTCCAATATTGTTCTGTCATCAGCTTTCGTCTCCTCTTTCTGCCCCCACCCCCTCACCTCCTTTGCCCCCTCCCCTGGGCAGCGGACTCTTTCTGCAGCCTTTCTACTGCTACTCCTTGTCCCCTTCTTACTGCTGTCTTTCAGCCACACCCCTGATCCTATCGTAGGTAAGATCCAATACCCAACCTTCTCGGATAAGGGCAAAAAATCTCTGAGGGCCCCTGAGCAAGCTGCGCACGCAAAAGATCCCTTGATGGTCCCAAATCAATTAGTAGGCTTCGGCCGCCACCCAGGCAAAATTTTAAATTGATTCCTTCCAAACTAAAAAAATGTTTAAATGTATTCCGCGAGCTCATATAACCTTATGCAGTTGCGAGCACCGTTAAACACCCCCCCCTCCCCCCCAAAAAAAACTTTTGTCAGAGACGACACGAACAAACAAGTGGTTACAAAAGAGATGCTGTTGACTTTGGGAAAAGAAGTGAAGGATGGAAAGATAGGTACCAAAAGCAACAGCCTTGCCAAGAAGAACATCTCCTCAGTCAACTTTGACAACGATCCATGAATTCCTAATACCTTTCACAATCATTTTCCCAGAGTGTTATGACATAGCGAAAGCTAACGAATAAAAATATTAAAATGTAAGAACCTATGCATATCCTTCCATTCCCCTTTACACAATAATCAATACACAGATAAGGCATAAGCTCAGTTTCTAAAAGGAAACATCAAACACTGAATGCAGTTTATTACCACTTCTGTGGTTGTGTCAGAATGATCTGCTGTGACATGATCATGTAGGCTCGACTCTGAGAAACCCATCCTGGAACAGTGGGGGCAAGTATAGGACTGGGGTTGCTCTGCAGTTAATGCTTCTCCTCCGTAAAATATATCTGAAAGATAGAGAAGAAAAAAAATTAACTAGTCTCCAATGGGACACAGGACATCAAACTGTCCGCCAGCTGTTAAAATGTAATAAGTCCAAAATTTGAACACTGGTTTTATTGCTATTTCTTATTCCATGGTATTGGTTGCTACAGAAATACTTTGTAAAAATTAAAATTTTAAAATTTTAAAACAGAAAGAAAAAAAACATAATGTAGGTACAATTCTATTGTTTAAAAAAAATAAGAAGACAAAAAACCAGGAGGAGGAGGAGGAGGAGGAGGAGGAGAAGAAAATGGCATTTTTCTCTCTCAAGTATAATTTTTGCTGGGTTGAGAAAATTTTAACAGCTTTCCAATGATATGAAGTATGAATATAATTCCAACAACTATTCTTCAAAAATAGTAGGAGCAGCCAATAAAACTGGCTGATTTCATAAGAAATATAAATGCAGAAAGAAGGATCAGACATGTCATTCACTTCAAAGCAAAGTTTAAAAAATTAAGAGTAATATCAGAATATTCCCCAACATTACAGAAACAGCACCAAAACAAATGTCTTCGAGACCTTGAGTCGACACAGTACAAGGTATACTTCTGTATGTTTTCGGGACCGTGGGTCAAAACAGCACATGGCATTTCTGTTTCAATTCTGTATTGGATTCAAAACTATAATTGATATCCTTTGAAATGTAACGACTGACAGCAAAAAGCACTGGTCAAGTGGAGTCAAGTGGGGGAAATTCACAATAGATTAACTGTAAATGAAATAAATGTCAACTTACCAAAATCTGCTCTGGTAAGTATACACTGCATGGGATGGTCTGTCGTATGCCGTGTGGTAGTGGCTCCAGCATCATAGCAGGTTGAGCATAAATCATAATCATAACAAATTAAGCACTTGTATCTTTTACCACGGAAGTTGCCCTTCATGCATGAATCACAGCTCACACCTGAAAAAACAAAGTAAACCATATAACAGAGCATGCAGGTACTGCATTTACTATAAAGAATGAACATATGGGCAACATGAAAACTAAAATCAGGCACGGGTTAAACTGAATAAATTAGGGATGCTGCGGTGTTTAATTTAGTTTTTGATAAAGAGCCTACTCTCGCATGAATTTAGTTGTGACGTTATTTATCTGAAAAAAGGAAACAGCAGCACTCATTATGCAGCATAAGTCAGGGGAAAGAATTACTGTAAATGGGCCAATCAAAACCACTAAACTAAATGACTGACTTATTCTCAGTAGAACTTATTTTCATGACTAAAAAAAACTTTCCGCGTGTAAGCAAGTAGTGTGTACATTTTTTCGTCTGCTATCAAATGCCAACCCTTTTCCCTTCACCCCAGTCTACACAAAGTATGGTAAAGCAGCTCAGAAAAGTTTAGTACCAAGTACAATTCAAGTTCTGAGAAATTCTATTTACAACAGATTCTTAGGCATATAAATTATGAAGAAAAAAAACTTTGTTACTCTAAAACTGGGTTCTCGAGCAGACCCAGTTGCTACTAGGCATGTTATTAGGCAGAGACCTCTGTATTCATGAAGGCTAATTTTGCCGAAAACAAGCTGCAGACATCAATATAATATATAATCATGCCTTACTTATTCTTGTAACTTAATCATGAGTGTAAACTCTCTGCATTCTGTCTGTTATTCTCTCACTCAACTTCTCGACCCCCAACAGGATTTTTTTTGGTAAGACTAAAACTAAAGCCTCCAGGTAGACACCAGAATCATTGATACCAAAATTATTATAGATAGATTGCTGACAATGACACATGCGACAATACAATGGTAAGGAGGTATAAATATGTTCAACAAGTCAGTATGGTTGCAATCAAACAATATTACTTCCAGAAACAAGAACATAAGTAACTTTGTCAAACCATTCTGACAAAACTCTACACTAACTAAATCAACAAATGAATTATAAAAAAACAATATAGTAATTGCATGCATATATACATAACATAATGTGTTGGCATCATGGTGAAATCAGGCACCCATCAAAATAATGAAATCAAAGAAACCGACATTTTTCAGCCTGATGGGCAATTTTTATTGATTTTTTTGTTTGTTTTGGACTCAACATTTTTAAAATGTCAATTTCAAAACATATTCCTGTGTGGATTTTACGGAAAAATATAGATCACGCAGACAAAAGCGTAAATTTGCTGTTTTTAAGGACACTACAGCTGTTAAGAAGTCACCCAAGTTACGTGGCCATTTTCTAGTTAACTTCACCTCTGACACCTGGCGACCCGACCCCTCCCATGTCAATCGCAAAAATCTCAACTTCTATTCAAGATAGACCGGTATTTCTTCCATCAAAAGCAAAGCAATTGAAAATATGAAAAAGCTTTAAGATGATACCAATTGAATAACTTCATATGCCCCAAAATTGACGAGCACTTGGTTCCACAGCGTCATGACATACATGTGGTCTTTCCTCCCATAAGAATGCCCACAGTAGTCAAGTGAACACAAAATCACCTGGATCTGCAAACAACATTCACAGCATAAAACTATGCAGGCAGCAGACTGCAGAATTCAGCTTGACATTAAAATGAATGATGGAACCTCATTGCGAGAATATTGGGCAATCTGCTATTTCCAACTCGAGTTTCAAATCCTGAGTTCAGACATTGCTTTTCGCCAAGGATTTTAATTATATCTTCTCAACTATCAAATACTGACGCAACATGTCAAAAAAGCTCCTTTGTGAGTCCAACTTCAAATCCTAAAAACTGATAAAGGAGGAAACTGCTTCTCTCAAACTCAAAACTTTAAATTCCCACTCTTACCTTGAGTAGTTTTAACACTAATACTAATGGTGGTGAGCTGAGGGCTCTGTCACCTTGCAACCCTTTATTGTCATTGTTGTTGTCATAATGAAGGAAGAAGAGAGCAGCCCCCCCCCCCCCCCCCCTCCAAACTCTTGCAAACATAACCTTGAGCCACTTAATTAAGGAAGAAAAAAAAATGAAATTTGGAATAAGTCTAAGAATCTGAACTTTAAACTTGCATTCTATTCTAAGGCTTAAACAAAATATTCTAAAACACTGCAAACATTGAATTGTCATAAACGGGATCCACCAATAGCTGCACTCGGCATCAATGAGTATTGAGTTGTGAATCCAGAGAAGAAAAAATTCCTACTCATCAACAGTACAGTGAGTACGTAAACATTTAGTAGAACCTTCTTACTAATGTACAACATGCACCCAGACCTCCCACCTCCCTTAATGCTACTGGTAATTCTGCACCCCCCCCCAAATCTGAATTTACACCTTTTTTTAAATGGTCAAAATATTTCTCTGGGCTCACCATAGTAAGCCAAAGGCCTATCAGCCAAGACACAGCTGAAAAACATTCAACAAAAAGTAGTGTGTCTTTCCTCATGACATCCAGTCATGATTTTATGACGTTAGTGTTAGTCAAGTCAGTGACAAGATTAACGAGAAAAATACAAATGATGGCAGGGAATGGGTCATGTCAAATTAAATTTAAAAAAGGCCTTAACACAGAATTATGCAGTCACTGACACTGGAAGGCAAAATACTTAGTACAGCATCTAAAGATGACTTTTTTAAAACCTACCAGTAGTACCTGTAGAAGATAGACCTCTTCTACAGCAGACAAGAAATAAACTTTAATCAAGCCTTATATTGTTTCTACCAACCCTTGACCTATAAAATTTTCTACTTGCATCATCAAAAGACATTGCTATGGAAGAGTGTATAATGGCCTCACATGTACTGAGGCAATCTAACTCAGTTGCACCCCTTTCGAGTTACAGTTTTTAAAGTTGTTGTCTATTAATTAAAATAAATTCAAAGCCAGACACCATGATTAACATTGGTTTAAAATTAAAATACGTTCAGCACAAATTTTTAAGGTAAGGCAATGTCTCATGAAAAGTACTACTGCAGGTGGGTATTACAATTACTGCCATTGGGATCTGAACTAGAATGCAGATTCAATTTTTTCCGCAATGAGATTCCTTTCAACTTTCAAGGTGCATATATACAAGTCTCAATCCAACATCTTATCTAAATAGAAAGCGCTTGTTTACAGTTGGGCACAGTTAACATGAACATGCAAAATTCTATAGCTTTTGTACAATATATGCCATCCCCCGCACTGAACCGTCTTCTTTCTACTGGCAACATCGCTTTTTTTTTTTTAAACACCCCTACAGAAAAAGCGGATCAAATTTTCCTCACATTAGTCTTAAATTCAAATCGCCCTACGTGCACGACAGAAAAAATGTACCCATCATCATCAAGAGTAACCAATTATATCGCCCCTGCTGATATTTAGATGCATCACCACACATTGCCCGATAATGTGAACTAGAATTTTTAATCTAGTCATATGCCGGTGGGTAGTGGGGTGTGATCAAAGACGACAGTGTGGCTCTGCATTGAGCCAAATCATATGGTGAGTGAAATTTTTAACAAATGTGTGTGTGTGACCATGAAGGTAAGGATCGAAAAATGATTACACAAGAAAGGAAAGTGATATTCTAATTGTATGATCAGTGTTAATTACAATTATGTCATGATTATGATCTGACGTGGAAGAGCAATTCTATTTTAGTCTCATTAAGAGACTCTCTTCCTTTCCTTTGCTTCATTACAGAACAAATATCTTGACATAAAAAAACTGAGGTGTTGGATGTCACCAACCCGATAGAAAGTGAGTGCACTTTACAATGAGAACATCAAACTGACACTGTTTCAATGGCCTCGGCAAGCACATGCCACGTCTCTTCCTATCCCTGGTCCCATCTTGGTGTTAAAACCAGATAAAATCACAAAGGAGCCTGGCCTCGACTTCATATGCAACCCACGATGGTTGAACAGGTTGAAAAAGAAATACGGTGTCACTTAGAAAGCTGGATACAGCCAATATGCAACAGTAAATCTATTACAGTGATTTGTTTTCTGACCATTATACCGCAAAGTTACTTTCCGTGAGTTTTCTTACATATCCTATAACTTTTCGTTTTATCAGTTTATCCAAATAATGGATGTGCCGCACACATTTGTCAATCCCCAACATGTTTGAGTTATCCATGCCCGACTGTATGTACTTCAACATAAAAAATTCTGGACTGTGATCAAGAAGAACATTCTGTTCACTCCTTTCTTACAGTTAATACCCAGACCACTGGTTTATAATTCCAGCACTCGTGAACATGCATTAATTTTGATCATGGTGAACAAAGAGCCTTCTATCTGTCCTACACAGAACTAAGCCTAAAATTAATCAGTAATGATCCCTCATCCTGTGATAAAGGCCATGTACTCAACATCAAACAGTACAGTGAACTGCATTATCGTTAATTCAAAATTGCTGTAAAACTATGACAACTTCTGTACACAATCAACATGATTATTTATCAGGGGTAAAACTATGGTCCCAACAAAAAACCTGAAGACTAACTTCTTCACCTTGAAGCATCAACGGTTCAAGACAGTAACTCAAGAGTTCTTCGTCACTATCAACCTCATCAACCTGGAAATCTGGAACACCAACGACGCCTAATAATGTCTTTAAATTTTTCTTTGTATACTGTGTATACAACCACAATACCAGTGAGTCAAGGAAAATTTCAACTAGCACTGAAATTCCCCAGGAAAGTTTTTGAGTATAATATCACTATACACTTTCATACTTTCAATGAGACTAATGGTCGTTCAGCCGTCTTTTACTTCCCTTGACCACTGACCTCAACACATTTCATTCATACACTAACATAAATGATGATCTTTCAAAAATGACAGGCATAAAAAAAGGGCAATACCCATTAAGACTGAAATTTCATGAAAGTTTAAACAAGCAGAACAAATTACAAACACCCTCAAATACACAACACTTTTACCTATCTTTGCACACACACAAATTTATCAGCCAACTTTTGCTCTCACAGGGCAGGCTGATATGGTGAATTCTTATTTGACTCTCAATAATTCAATAATGAAAATATTTCTTCAGTATCTAAAGACACTAAAATGAGTTCAGATTATAGTCACTTTGTGCTTGCACACTGAGGCCCCGGAAAAGTGTAAAACGTGATAACTGCCAACTTTAACTTTAAGCATGTGCATTTATATTAAAAGACTGATAGGCAAAGAAGTGCTATATCAAATCATTTCTATAAAATCATGTTTCACTAAATATAATATCATTGAATGATGATGAATCTGATCCCTTTACCTGTAAAAATTCCCAATCTCTTTTCGTTTTCTTTTTCCACAGATGAGCTAGGGTGAAGAGGTGCTGGGGACATATCTTGCTGACTCTAACCATATTTTCCAATTCATGATCCACACACACAGACATTCCATCAGATTTTTTTTTAAAACAACCTCCACATGATTCGACCTGCACTATATATAAAGGGCTAGAAAGCATGATAAATTTTAGAAAACTTTAGCATTTTCATTTATTCATTAAAAATCTTCAAGTGTTAAATGAGATAAAAATATTTGTCAGCATCAACAGAGTGGAAACCATGGGGGTTCTCGTGGTCGAGAGGTTATGGTGTTTGCCTCTCATTCAATGAGTCCCGGGTTCGAATCCCGACAGTAACGGAAAATTTTCTTCTCTTAAAATTTCTCCTTTCCTCCTCCATTTATACGATGTTCTGTCATCTGCTTTCGTCTCCACTTTCTGCCCCCACCCCCTCACCTCCATTGCCTCCCCTCCTCTGGGCTCCTGACTCTAATTTCTGCAGCCTATACATACTGCTACTCCCTGGGTCCTTCTTGCTGCTGTCTTTCAGCCACACCCTGATCTTACGGTTGGTAAGATAGAACACCTAGCCTTCTCTGATAAGGGCGAAAAATATCGGAGGTCCCGTAAGCAAATTGATGGTCCAAAAACCGATAAGAGTAGGCTTTGGTCACCACCCGTGAAAAATTTTCTCCACCCTCGGGGATCTTGATTTTGCCCACAAACTTGCACTACTCTCACATACCAACGAGCACATGCGGGAAAAAACAAACCCGGCTATACAAATACTAATAATTTCCTAATATTTTTTTTATTCAGTTGCTCTCAAATGTCTCCCTCTGGTAGGACAATGGTTCAAAAACCACCAAATATGATTATTTACATCAGGAAACAACGTTTGGTGTAAGAATTAGATCGTTTGAAAAGTGAGGAAAGGTGTTTGCATTGAAAGATGAAAGTCCTATTTCCTGAATATCCTTTCGAGTCCCTCAAGTGTCTAACTGGGTCAAAATGCTCATATTTCATTGGATGAACGTCTCAACCGACGCTCTGTTATCTCTACCAACGCCTCGCGTTGCAAAACAATGCAGTAAGTTTGAGATGGACACTCAGGCACAAGCAGATTGACGCGCACACATTTTAGCACACAGATGCAGACCCGCCGTAAACGAAATGCGTTGCCCGCGCGGGACGACGACTGATCAGGGACCAGCTGTGGAGCGCCGCGCGGGATTGCGCTTATCGGGCAAACATTTATCAGGGACCAGAATCTTAAGGGTTAATGCCTCACTTTTCCACAAACAGAGCACACAGGACGAGTCCAAGTGTGTGCTTTTCCAAGAAGGGGGAAGGCTTTCATAACGCAAACACACAATGCCATACCACTTCTCAAGATGTTTGCTTTTCTGTTTCTATTCTTCTGTCATGCAATCAAGCAAATAAAAATGACTACATCTATTGTATTGTGACTAAAATGTAACAAAAACGCAAGTTATCAAGGCCCCCGTTTAGTTTTCAAGTATCCTTCCCCCCCTTTCCGGTTCACATAAGCGGGGCATCGTATGTAGTGCCCGAGGCGACCAATGGCTGATGACGTCACTCAGTGGAAATTTCCCACCCGCCGGTCGTTCGCCCAGCACGCGCAAATGGCAATGTCACTTTTTCCCTTAGTTACTCCCACATGTTTAAAGATTATGCGAAAACCGCTAAACACAGAAGCATGAAATTTTAAGAGAATAAAGAAAAATGGCGTACAACGTATCAGTCAGTTTGACAAATCACAGCTCCGAAAAATCTTCAAAGCGCACCACATCAACCCCTTTCGCAAACATTTTTTGACTACTTCTTGGATGGGTACAAAGTTGTCAAACTGCATACTACGAGATTGACCTCTTTTCTGATTGGCTGCCAAGTTTCATTCATATCCATACACGAGAAGCGGCGTGAGAGCGAGTTGAAGGCAACAACCTTTGCGTTAGTGCATCCCACGCCAAAAATCGGCAGAACTCTAACAAAACGCACTCGGTGGGCATTTGCTACATTACCATATCCACCTGCAAATAGGTTAGGTCTAGTTCTAGGACCATTGCACACGTGCATTGCCATATGTGTGTGTGTGTGCTGCCACAGCATTCCATTTACAGCAGCAATCAAGGCCTGCTTCCCAAGGCCAAGGGGGTTTGCTGTAAAAAGCTGACACCACTGTACCAATATCACCTGCCTCCTGGCACACTCTTGTTCTTCTCTTTCTCTTCCCCTTTTTAAGTTCTTTGTTCAAATTTTAATTCATCCTCTTGGCTGAGACTAGATCAAGATTCTAGTCCTGGCCTAGACTATGGCATGATGGCTTTGTAATTTGTTCCGTTTGCTCCTTGTCATTGTTAGTGTTAACTTAAAGTTTTTCGCCTTTCACATTATAACAACAATGCAGATGTGACTAGATCAAGATTCTAGCTTCCCAAAGGAAAGTCATTCTCCCTTGAGTTGACTGACACACATACTTTGTTACCTATAGCTCCGTAGTGATGGTTTCTGAGGTGGATATTGGAGTGGGAGCGGAGGACGTATTATTGTAATGCCCGGAGTGCTTACAATATTACGACTACTCTGATGTTGTTATCAGGATTTATTAATCAGGTAGGCTAATCAAGCTCCGTAGGACTTCGGCTTCGACTCAAGTTCACAAATCACAAGCTCTACTCAAGATTTCTAAATTCTAGATTCTACTCTAAATATAATCTAGAGAAACATTGTCAACATGTTTGCCTACATATTTCTCCCCTAGGCCCAAGGCCTTCTAGATCTTTGAGCACATCCCCTCCCCCTCCCTTCCCCAACAATCACCCCTCACAGCCATCCTTATTTCAATGACTATGTACTCAAAGTCTTTATCATCGTGACCACACTCCCACTTCTGGGTCTTCTCGTCAACTCAGCAGAGGACTCGGTCAAATATAATCAAAGGATCACAATGAAGTAATGAAGTCTACACGACAAACAAAACACAGTAACAGTGCAGTCACAATGTCTAAAGTGTTCGTACCTTCATGGCGGGACATTCTAAGATCCCAGTTTGCCCTTGAACAATTACAAAGAGTATACTCTGTAAATTCTTGTTACAAATACGGTAACAGATATGAAGACGGAAGCACACAGCCTCTTGAAGTTCCCCAGTACCACATTCGTTAGTTCCAAGAAGATCAACATAGAATCAACTTCCAGTGGCCATGATGACGTCACGCAAAATCTCGTTCCGTGTGCCTTGTGTTTGAGGATTGAGAAATATTATTTAGGAAAATCTTCAATATCAAAATAAAGATGTTTTCTTTTTCAGTGAAGGAAAAGAATTAGAAAAGATCTGGAAACATTTTAAAAATAATATTGATATTTAATGTGTCTTTTAATGGGCACATTATTATTGGATAGGATTGTAGATATGGTTTTGATTAATTTTTTATCTTTTAAAATCGGAAACAGAATTTTCCGGCCCTCAAAGTGTCTCGAAAAAAGCGGACTTATTTTTTAAGCACGAGAACAATCTTTTGCCAAACGTCAGTAAAAATGAAGGACAAAACGGCAAAGCCAGGGGCAGGAGGTACCGCACACATATTGTATCGAAGTCGAAGACCTTTATTTTGCTATACTCTTATAATTTATCCCTTTTAAAAATACTGCTTTCTTTTTACAGACCAATTGTTATTGATGCAAAGAGAGGTACTCACAACAAGAAAATAATCAATAGGCCAACAATATAACTTTTTAATGAAAGCATTCCCAGAACTGTTTTAATTTAAGCAGCTCAGAAAAGCTGTTTATAATTTAAAGTGATATTGGTGACAGTTGTTGCCTGGAACCGGAATTTAATACTTAGACGTTTTCTATTTTTATACTATTCTTTATTGATACAAATTATAGAGTAAAATATTCGGTTACAAAATAAATTTTAAGCGGGTCCATAATGTGGTTCTGGTTAAACACGAGTGTTAAGACGGATACTAAATAATATTCGTTTATTATAATGTATCTAAATTGTAATTGTTAAAGTTATACTCCCACATCGACTCAAATTTAATTCGTATGTATAGTGGGGGCTGCAAATTTTATTTGACCTTGCCCTGATCCGACAGGTCAACGACTAACACAGGCTGAGAGATACGGTTTTGATTTTGATAAGCCTGTTACCATTTAAACAGTATTGACAATTTTAAGGGGAGTGGACAAGTTATATATACACACGATGTAATATCATTCTTTTTTCAAACAGACTAGCGGAATATGTTTTATATATGAGCTATGATCACCTCTCTCTCTCTCTCTCTCTCTCTCTCTCTCTCTATCTATCTATCTCTATCTCTCTCTCTCTCTCTCTCAGCGGTTTTTTTTTAAATAACTAATAATAGAGTTTGTTTGTTTTTAAGGCAGTCCCGCTGGCATAGAATTGCAAAAGTCCGAGTTTGGAAGTACATTGTACATGTTCTAATTTGCTCCTTAAAGTACATACAGTCAAGTACGCGCATAATATAGGTCTATTCATAAGCTGTGATCACTCATAAAGTAACTTATTATTACGGCATATTGGTAATTAATGAGAGGTCAGATTTTTTTTAAAATAATTAATTTATTAAACTACTTTCGATTTCGGTGTTCATTATTGTCGAGTTAACAAAACAGATAACAACAGATAACCATAGATAACAACTGATAACAATACATAAATAACAACTGATATATACAGCAAATAACAACAGACAACAACAAAATAACAACAAATTTTAATATCAATACAAAAGTCCTAATTTAGGGTTTTTTCCCGATAATTTAAATTGTTACTTTCGATTTCGGTGCATCTTTGTCGAGATAACAACAAATAACACACAAAAACTTATAACAATTAACTGTATCACAATAAAATAACGACAAATATCAACACAAACGTCCTAATTTGGTTACTTTTACTTGGTTTTTAAAGTAGTCAGTTATTATTTTCCCTGGGTTTTGTTTGGATATGCCTGGTTTTCTCAAGATTTTGGAAGTACAATATACTAGAATCTTTCTTAGTGAAGTAAAAATTAAGTAGAAAATATTTTCTATTGTTCACACTTTGTCCATCAAATGAAATTGTTAATCCCTCCCAGCCTGGCTCGGCCCTGTGACAGAAATATGCAAAGTTTGACCCATGATAAGAGGTATGTGCACAACCTGTATTTATTCATTATATGAAAACTTTACTCATCAAATGAGTGTTTTATGCGATGTGATGTGGGGCCTTAAACACTGAATTAACTTATTTACGTAATTACTTCTTTATACTTACTTACTCACCCACTCACCCACTCACTCACTCACTCACTCACT